ATAAATGTGTCATAATATACATATATCTGCGTGTCACGTGTGTAATTCTCAGCTATAAAAATCACAGTATAAATAAATGCGAGTAAATATAAAATATCAAAAGCTATGAATTCAGAAGTGGTTTGCATCGTTATGTTAATTCTTTGCATCAATACCGATGCAACAAGTAAGAATCTTTTCTTTTCGTGAGATAAAAGTATTCATATTTTCATTGATTTTGAATGAATTTTCAATTTAGGATATAATTTACCAATAAACTGTCAACTTCAGCCAGATAAAGGACTATGTCGGGCAGCAATATATCGTTATTATTACAATGTTTCTATTCATGAATGCGAACTTTTTCTTTATGGTGGATGTCTCGGAAACGGAAACAATTTCGAATCCTTACAGGAATGCAGCGATTATTGTTCTGCAAGTAAGTTCAGCTATTTGAAATTCTAAATTAAGCTGGCAATTACTTTTTAAATGAATATAAAAATTTTACGCTAGTATTCTGTTTCTCCCCCCCAGAAAATTTAGATGATCTACCAAAACCAAGTGGTAAAAACAGTCAAAAGTGGTAGCTGGTCACGGGTTGGAACGTCATCAGCTGACTAGGCTCATTGAGTTTTTACGTCTTTTTCGTGTGTTTTACTCGTTAAATAAAGTCGGTTTCTCATAGAAAGTCCTTTCGGGGATACTTCCTCCTTCGTGTCTATATGCTGTTGTCTGTAAAAAGAATAAATGTCTAAAAATGCTACAGAGTCCATGTTATACATTAACAACTAATAAAGTGTCAGGAAGTGTTTATAAGAGTTTGTGTTTTATACGTTACGAAGTATATTGAAAATAATCTGGTCTGTTCGAAGAATCAGCCATTTCGGAACCCACCAGTGGCCGAATGGCTAAAATCACTGCACACTAGTAGTTTGTTGTGGTTTAACCGGGATATTTTCACGTTGGTAACATGTAAATAGGCGTGTAAAGTTCTTCTGGGAAGCATCATAGTTCGGCACAACGCCCACGTGTCGCTTTGACGAAAAGATATGAAAAAAACAAACATTCCATCGTATTTCGTGGTAAAAAGAACCACTACATATGATATGCTACTATTATACTTTGGAAATCGTGTTTTTTTTTATCAAAATATATTATAGGTTGCATTTATGTAGAATGAATTAAAAATATAGAGGAGTGTGTTGTCGAAATTTTATTAATTTTGAATGAAAACGAATAGTAGAATTTAACTTTGTGTTCTTTGATTTCTGGTGTAACTTTTTAAAATATTAAAGTCTAAAAATTTACTAAAATAAAAAATTAATTAAGTAGGCACGTATTGTGAAACAAGAGATTTACGTCTTTAATATTTCTGTTACATGTAATAAAATGATGTATTTAACAAATTATATACAGTATATATAATTTATTTTATAAACTATAACTAGAAGACAGCTGAACTGCAATTATAATATTTATTAAAACCTTTAATAAATAAAACTTTGTTGTTTTATTATCATCCTATATGTATATAAAAAGTGCATACATGTTTTACTTATGTAATTAAAAAGATAAAAACATAAAGCTAGTCAAGAATTAGTTAAAATTTTTCCAGGTATAAACTGTATTTGATGAAAAATGCTGTTTCCTTTACTATTGAAAAAGATTTAATTAAAAGCACTGTAATACAAATTTACAGCCATCATCATATACAGGTTCCTAAAAAAAAAAAAAAAAATATTATATGAAAATTTTGCAGTTTACGTGAAAACATTGGAAAGCTATCCAAGTTTCACACTTACATTTACCATTCCATTTATCTTTATATTACATTATATTTACCAATACAATTTTTCAATATGTATACCTTATGTAACACAGCACACATCTAACCAATACTCAAATTCTTCCTACGCTCTCTATGTCATATTCTTTGTTACTTTTCTCACAGTTCCTACAGATTATTCGTATCGCGCAATGGCGAGTAAATCCCACTTTTTATGAATTCGCCATTTTTGTTTACGGCACTTCTTATATATATATTAGACAACAATACGTTTAAATGCGGATGAGAGATAAAATTCGGACCATTACTTATCTATTGGTATACAATAGCATACTTCTCAGATAATAATTAACATAATTACTGCAATTTAAAGTAGACCCTGTATAACTTTATCATCATAAACATTATAGTATGTATCGATAATTCATATATATATTCATCAATATTTTTCCTGATGATAATGTATCAAACGCTTTGACGGCCAACTGTTTCGTCGCATCAACAACTTCATTTTGAAACGATACAAACAATCAAGATCTTTCTACGGCAACTGCATGTTGTACAGTAATATTCAATAAACTGTTTCCTCACACTTTATTGAATATTACTGTACAACATGTGTCTATCAATCTGGTGTCTGTTTTAATAATGACAAAGTATATTTACAGCAATTTTTGTTGTTTCAGGAACCAGCCATTTCTGGGCCNGACCCTGTATAACTTTATCATCATAAACATTATAGTATGTATCGATAATTCATATATATATTCATCAATATTTTTCCTGATGATAATGTATCAAATGCTTTGACAGCCAACTGTTTCGTCGCATCAACAACTTCATTTTGAAACGATACAAACAATCAAGATCTTCCTACGCAATGAGTTTGTGGACATTATTCGGCTACAAGAACGATCTTCTTCAGTCATTTGTTCTCTAAACTTACGATTAGAATATCGAAATCTGTCCCAATCACGAAGTATTTCGTCTGGTAATGACTACTCAACTAGTGGTTATAACATTGCTGCATGCTTATCTCTCGCAACTCTTTACGTTTCTAATGCTTGTAACTTTGTTTGAAGTTGATCATAAAGTTTTCTTAAAGAATTCCCATTAATTGAATTATTTTTCTGTAATCCTAGAAAATGATCTGGAACGTATACTTCTATAAGTAATTCTTCTCTACCAAAACGGGATCGTAATTGTTTCTTTCCATTGGAGGGAAATCTCTTAATAAATTTTTTGCTAGATGTTTCCTATTGCAATACTTCAGATAAAAAAGCGAATTTGTTATAATTCTGTAAATTTTGGAAATCGATCGAGATCGACTTTGTCTATTTTCTAGCACTGTCCCCGGAATCCAAACTATTTCTTCACAATACCATCAAATGTAGGTAATTATAACTTCGGATATCACAATAACGAATTTTGCGAAATTGGTTTGTTAATTGTTGCTATGAAGCAATAGCATATTAAATTGAACGGAATTCTCAACTTTTGCTTTAAGACTACTCATTTTACTGTGCATAATTCATTTTTCGATATATGTTTCCGATTCAACTATTTCTGGCTCAGTAATATCATTATTCGTTGTGTCTGTCAAAAGTATTTCTTTAACTTTGTCATCAACTATTAGCATTAATTTCGAATTTTCATCGAATACACTTAATATTATAATATTTTCATTATCCGATAACTCGTCTTCCTTCTCGTACTCATTGCATACTTTCGTAAGCAATCTTCTGTGCNAGACTTGGAAATGAGAGTGTTAATGTCATAAACGATTGGGTGAAAGGATCTTTTACGAAGGATTGCAATAGAGGAAGAGCTATCAGTAATGATAGCTATTTGTTTATGATGGATATTGTTAGCCCAAGTAATGGCCATTTTAAGGCATAGAGTTCTGCTTGAAAAATAGTGCATTGTTCACCCAATCTGAACTGGCCCAGAGCAATCTCCTGCCCGTTCTGGTAAACAACATAACTACAACCAACTTTTATATCTGTTTTCGAACCATCCGTAAATATTTCGTAATCATTGTAAGAGGTACGATTGACGGTGTGGACGAAAGGGCCAAAGATTGTGAATAAATGGCAAAAGAAATTTCTTGTTCCAAGTCGGTGTGACTTATTTGTTGGTTGCTAGTATAAATATCAAGGTCATGCTTTATTTGCCATTGTTTAAAATAGGAGGTGATGATAAGATCAATAGTGGCTTTCTTAGCCAGAACTTGAATATAGATATTGGGCGTGATATTGTAGGCTTTGGTGATTTGAATAAGAGCTCTTACGTTGTGACGAAATAAGTTTACGCTTTATATGAGTCTTATAAACATCACCTCCCCAAATTCCACAAGCATAAGTAATGATTGGAATATAAATCTGATTATAAATTGCATCCATCGCCTCAGTGGCAAGTCCCCAACGACCTCTCGCAATACTTGCAAAAGCGTTAAAGATTTTCCCTGTACGTTGAGTTATGTATTCAATATGTGAATTCCACAAGAGGCGGTGGTCCAAGATCACGCCCAAATATTTAATAGTTTTATCTACTTTTATGGTATGACCACCCATTTTAATGCAAGGAGTACGGAGGTAAAGGTTTTGATGGCCAGGTTTATTGAATACTATACACTTAGTCTTGTTAGGATTAAAATCCAGTTTATGTTGATTTCCCCAGGTTAGAATGTTATTAAGAATAGTATTACCGTGCTGCTCAAGTGCTGAACGAGATTGACCACCAAAAAGTACCAAAACATCGTCAGCGTAAGCTATCATATTATGTTGTCCGAAGTCTTGAGTAAGAAAGAGATTAAATAGAACGTTCCATAGAATGGGACCACATACCGAGCCCTGCGGACAACCGCGGACAACTTTGCGAGAAACTGTGTGCCCCCCACATTAAAGTGTAGCGGTGCGGTCATTTAGGAAATCCTTAATAATATAGAATATATTGGCAGGGCAGTTCAACTTTTGGAGGTTATTCAATATTAGATGCCACCAGGCAGAATCGAATGCCTTGGCGATATCGAGACTGATAGCCAAGACGTATTTATTGCTTTCTAATAGATGATTAATGCAAGCAACGGCAAAGTATAAGCCATCAGCAGATGATTTTTGAGGCCTGAAGCCAAATTGATTATCATGGATAATATGGTTGGCCTCTAGATACGTGAGGAGCCTGTTGTTAATAAGTCTTTCAAGGACTTTGCCTAAAACAGGTAACAAAGAGATTGGCCTGCTTTCTTTAGTATTTCCTGGTTTTGGTACCGGAAGTATTTTGGCAGACTTCCATTAAGTTTGCCCAGTCGTAAAAAGAGTTCACGAAGGCGAGGTGAGACTTCGATGACCCAGTTAACAAATGCATCAGTCTTCTTTCCCATAACAAATTTAATGGTAAATTCCTTACGTGCCAGGAACTCTTCAACATATTTTCCACGTGAGTCCAAACGATTCCCTTTCCAAATAGGAGAATGAGCATTTGTATCTCCGGCCAAGATGTAATATACATCTGTAAATTTACCCATAATGTTTTGAATATAATCTAGTATATCCTCAATATGAATATCTTTAGGGCAGTAATAATTGATAAGAATGTGTCTGCGGTTATTGATAACCAACTCAGTACAACTGACGTATTGTGTACTAATAGAACTGTGGTGAAGGAGGGAAAGATCGTCCCCAATAGCGATGGAAACAGCTCAAGGATATGTATTGGTACCTTGAAGGAAGATACAGTTGGCAGGAAAGCCAGCAGGGATGTTATTTATGCAGTATGGCTCTTGACAAAAAATGATGTCATGACACGTAAAATACTTCTGTTACATTTAATTGTTTATGTTCTTTCAACTAAAATACTTATTAGATTACATATAATTTTGTTTCATAATATTTCTGCATATCTACATAAATTCTACGTATATTAAGATTAATGTTTTTCTTTATCTTGAGTCTTTATGCCCTGTAATGAATAAGAAAATCTTTTCTTTCCTACCCATCTGGTAGCGTGGATTTTTCTATGTCGTTTTCACGTGTCTTAAATAGTAGCCAGTTTCTCATAGACATACCTTTCAGGAGGATCTTCACCCTCGTTTCTTGTTATCTTATTATACCAGTAGAAATTAGAATATTTTTAACATATTACATTAAAAAATATAGAAAAATAATAAATTTTTCGTGGAAATCCGTGTCCGAATCCGGACTGTCGCAAACTCCAGCAATTTTTCGGAAAGATATTAACCGCTGAGGTATGTGGTCGTAGCTTCTGGATTGAAACAATAATAGCTTATCGGCACTCTATCATTGGGTGAATGATTAATGTTGATTGTCATATGTACAAATTACGGATGGCCAGTTAAGTTTTCCCGTTTTACCTTCCCATCTCTGTTATGTATAACAGGAAAAAAGTATGCCTATTGGTCAAAAAATAAATCCCAAAATCTTTACATTTTTGGACTTTGGAATGTTTTTCCTCTGTATGAATGTTAGTGTATGTATGGGGAACACGATTTTGTTCATCTCCTCTGAAGCTTGATAGTTCCTGTGCTTTTGTCTAAATTTTCTAAACTTTTGCATGGTTTATTAGAGAATTGACGCTATTAAGTTTTGGTGGTTAAAGGTCGAGGGGTGAGGAGATAACGAGGGTCGTGTATATCTTCAGTAGGGTCTGACTTAATGGTAATTTTATACGTTATTAGCATTTACAATTTTTTACAAAACTCATTCCTACTCTCAAAATAAAGGTTTTTTCACCATTTTATAATAAATAAAAATATGAAAAGTTCTTTTTAATAAAATATCGTAACAGCTGGTGACACTAACTGTTGTCGGGAAAGTAAAATAACTCGTTGCTGGGTTTTTTCATTTTTGTCTCAGAAAAAGCTTACACTCAGAAGCCAAGCATACGCTTAACATTGCATAAAAACCCAGCTTGAAAAGCATTGCCTATGAATCGTTGGCTTAGAGAATAAAATTCTAATATTGCTCGCAACTGCATGTTGTACAGTAATATTCAATAAACTGTTTCCTCACACTTTATTGAATATTACTGTACAACATGTGTCTATCAATCTGGTGTCTGTTTTAATAATGACAAAGTATATTTACAGCAATTTTTGTTGTTTCAGGAACCAGCCATTTCTGGGCCCACCGATGGCTAGTGGATAAAACCAATAAATGTTGGTAGTTACTCGTGACTTCGAGCCTCTCTAACGGGCTGGTCACGTGCAGTTTTTCGGGTTTTCTTCACATTTTTAACTCAAACTCTTTCGTCGATAAATTTTCTTTTCTTACACTATACATTGTAACTCTAATTTACTTTGAACAATTGTTACGCAGTTATCAATGTAAAAAATTCTTCATGATTTTCCGTATAACACCTTCTGGATATGTTTCTTTTCTTGATCAATTTTAAAACTGACGGAAGGTGATACTGGATCACAGCTTCCAGAATAAGACACTAAAACATACACAAAACATCAATCTACAATGTCTATTGTTTCAAATGTCCATCAATTCCATGCCATAAAAATGAGAGAAAGTTCTTATCATTAGGAAACAAACTGATTTGTAGAAAAGCTTTACGAATGTCTGCCTCTGCACCCATTTTTTCCAAGTTAATACGAACTTAAATCGTAGGAATCAATTCAATGAGATCTAATCCTTTTTCAAGACATTCGTTAAGACTGGGGAATTTCTTTTGCTTAACCGATGAATCAAATACAGGTTATTTATTCTAGCTGGGCTATTCTTATTGACTACAAGTCTATGTGGTAAATAATGACAAGACTCTTTAATCCCATTTGCAAACAGACCTTCATCTAAAATCTAATATCATTGTCCTTAGTTTCTGTCAAAAGTATTTCTTTAATTTTGTCCTCAACTATTAGCATCAATTTCGCCTTCTGTTTGATTAGACTTAACATTATAATATTTTCATTATCCGATAACTCACCTTCTTTCTCGTATTCATTGCATACTTTCGTAAGCAATCTTCTGTGCCGCTTTTAACGTCTCTATATTTAAAATAAATAGGCCAAAAATTCACTTTGCAGCCGAATTCTATGGCGAACGTCAGTTAATCTGGCCTCTCATAATAAAGTCCTAAGGATTGGCTCTCCAAGATTCGATTTCCAGACTTGCACTTTAATAGACACGTGAATGATTAATGCTTTGAAATAAATGAAATACTTTGAAATTATTTTAGAGTAAATTCCTATTTTTTGAGTCATAATTAAAACATGTCAAAGACGTTTATAATATCTGCATTATTACGAAATTTAATGATGATAAATGTGTCTTAATATACATATATATATTATGACACATTTATCATCATTAATATACTATATTAATATATATTAATATATATATATATCTGCGTGTCACGTGTGTAATTCTCAGCTATAAAAATCACAGTATAAATAAATGCGAGTAAATATAAAATATCAAAAGCTATGAATTCAGAAGTGGTTTGCATCGTTATGTTAATTCTTTGCATCAATACCGATGCAACAAGTAAGAATCTTTTCTTTTCGTGAGATAAAAGTATTCATATTTTCATTGATTTTGAATGAATTTTCAATTTAGGATATAATTTACCAATAAACTGTCAACTTCAGCCAGATAAAGGACTATGTCGGGCAGCAATATATCGTTATTATTACAATGTTTCTATTCATGAATGCGAACTTTTTCTTTATGGTGGATGTCTCGGAAACGGAAACAATTTCGAATCCTTACAGGAATGCAGCGATTATTGTTCTGCAAGTAAGTTCAGCTATTTGAAATTCTAAATTAAGCTGGCAATTACTTTTTAAATGAATATAAAAATTTTACGCTAGTATTCTGTTTCTCCCCCCCAGAAAATTTAGATGATCTACCAAAACCAAGTGGTAAAAACAGTCAAAAGTGGTAGCTGGTCACGGGTTGGAACGTCATCAGCTGACTAGGCTCATTGAGTTTTTACGTCTTTTTCGTGTGTTTTACTCGTTAAATAAAGTCGGTTTCTCATAGAAAGTCCTTTCGGGGATACTTCCTCCTTCGTGTCTATCTGCTGTTGTCTGTAAAAAGAATAAATGTCTAAAAATGCTACAGAGTCCATGTTATACATTAACAACTAATAAAGTGTCAGGAAGTGTTTATAAGAGTTTGTGTTTTATACGTTACGAAGTATATTGAAAATAATCTGGTTTGTTCGAAGAATCAGCCATTTCGGAACCCACCAGTGGCCGAATGGTTAAAATCACTGCACACTAGTAGTTTGTCGTGGTTTAACCGGGATATTTTCACGTTGGTAACATGTAAATAGGCGTGTAAAGTTCTTCTGGGAAGCATCATAGTTCGGCACAACGCCCACGTGTCGCTTTGACGAAAAGATATGAAAAAAACAAACATTCCATCGTATTTCGTGGTAAAAAGAACCACTACATATGATATGCTACTATTATACTTTGGAAATCGTGTTTTTTTTATCAAAATATATTATAGGTTGCATTTATGTAGAATGAATTAAAAATATAGAGGAGTGTGTTGTCGAAATTTTATTAATTTTGAATGAAAACGAATAGTAGAATTTAACTTTGTGTTCTTTGATTTCTGGTGTAACTTTTTAAAATATTAAAGTCTAAAAATTTACTAAAATAAAAAATTAATTAAGTAGGCACGTATTGTGAAACAAGAGATTTACGTCTTTAATATTTCTGTTACATGTAATAAAATGATGTATTTAACAAATTATATACAGTATATATAATTTATTTTATAAACTATAACTAGAAGACAGCTGAACTGCAATTATAATATTTATTAAAACCTTTAATAAATAAAACTTTGTTGTTTTATTATCATCCTATATGTATATAAAAAGTGCATACATGTTTTACTTATGTAATTAAAAAGATAAAAACATAAAGCTAGTCAAGAATTAGTTAAAATTTTTCCAGGTATAAATTGTATTTGATGAAAAATGCTATTTTCTTTACTATTGAAAAAGATTTAATTAAAAGCACTGTAATACAAATTTACAGCCATCATCATATACAGGTTCCTAAAAAAAAAAAAAAAAAAAAAAAANGCAATAATAATATTTATTAAAACCTTGAAGAATAAAACATTGTTGATCTATTAACATCTTATATGTATAAGAAAAGTTATACATTTTTTATTTATGTAATAAAAATATAAGAAAGATAAGCTAAGCATGAATCAGTTAGTATTTTTTTTACTTTGAAATTGTATTTAATAAAATACGTTATTCCCTTCACTATTCAAAGTGTTTTAATTAAAAACACTGTAATATAAACCCACAGGCATCATCATATACAGGTTCTTCCAAAGAGAATATACCATTTTAAATTAATTGTTGTAGTTATGTGAATTATTATATGAGAACTTTGCAGTGTACATAAAAACATGGGAAAACTATCCAAGTTTCATACTTACGTTCACGTACGTAATTTCGTATGAATAAAAAATATCATACAGGAATATCATAAATTTGAATAATTTAATTTATTTTCTAGTAAATAACTAAAATTGTAGGGCCAATCTCACCCATACCGACGCGTTATGCTCGATTAATTTATGTTCTCCTACATTATAAGATTAAAGTAATATAAAGCGTTTCATTGGGAGTTTTAATAAACATAATAATGATTACGAAAAAAGTACTGTTTTATTTCTAAAAATGAAATAAAAAATATACTTATTCCATGAATTTAATGAGAAAAAAGACAATTATTTTCAATTGAACATAAAAAATACTACTAAAAATATTATGGAAACATTAACACTCCTAAACCTTATAACTCCAGTAATAAGCATTTAATAGCAAACTAACGTTTTCAACCGTACATTCGGTCTTCTTCAGGTTTAAAAACCAGTTATGTTCGAACATGTGAATGCATAGAACAAAATTTTGAAAATAATTTCAAAATTTTTGAATTCACCACCTCAACTCCATTTATAGGGAGATTGCCTTTCATACTAATACTAAAGTTACATACAAGAGGCCAAGCACGGTATATGGACTACCCCGCTGTGGCAAAGACAAGATAAATAGATATATAACTGCATGTGTCACGTGTGTAATTCTCAGCTATAAAAACAGTATAAATAAAGCCGAGGAAATATATAAAATATCAAAAGCTATGAATACAGAAGTGGTTTGCATTGTTATGTTAATTCTTTGCATCAATACCGATGCCACAAGTAACAATATTTTCGTGCGATTAAAATACTCATATTTCCATTAATTTTGAATTAATTTTCAATTTAGGATATAATATACCAATAAACTGTCATCTTCAGCCAGATTCAGGACTATGTCTCGCAAGTATGTCTCGTTATTACTATAATATTGCTACTGACAAATGCGAACTTTTCAGTTTTGGTGGATGTCCCGGAAACGGCAACAATTTCGAAACTTTACAGGAATGTTGCGATGAGTGTCATGCAAGTAAGTTCAGCTATTTGATATTCTATATTAAGCTGGTAATTACATTTTAAATTAATATATGAATTTTACGCTAATATTCTGTTTCCCCCAGCAAATTTGGAATGTCAACAATCCAAAAAATATATACAGGACATTATCGACAGTCAATTAAAACCAAGTGAAAAAAGCATTGAAATGTGGTAGTTGGTCACGGGTTCGAACTTCACCAACGGACTAGGCGGATGCAGTTTTGTCTGTCTTCTATATGTGTTTTGTTCGTTAAATAGGATCAATTTCTCATAGAAAATCCTTTCGGAAAGTACCCCTACATCGTGTCTATGTGTTGTTGGCCGTAAAGGAAATAAATGTCTAAAAATTCTCCCGAGTTCATGTTACTCAGTAACGACTAATAAAGTGTCAGGAAGTGTTTATATTTTATTTATGCCAAGTATATTTAAAATAATCTGGTTTGTTTGAAGAACCGTCTGTTTCGGAATCCACTAGTGGTCGAATGGCTAAAATTACTGCGCACTGCTAGTTTTTCGTGGGTTCGCTCCTGACCATGGAATTTTATGGGTTTCCTTCACGTTACTAACATATAAGTAGGGTCAGTTTTTCGTATAAAGTCCTCTTGGGAGACATCCCACCCCGGCGCTTTGAGGTAAACAAAAACCAAACATTTCATCATATTTCGTGGTAAAAATAACCATTAGATATCATTTGCTGTTTTTATACTTATGAAATTGTGTATTGTTTATCAAAATATATTCTAGGTGGCGTTTATATAGAAGGCATTAAAAATATAGGGAATGTTTTATTGATTTTCAATGAAAATAAATAGTAGAAATGAACTTTATGTTCTTTGATTTCTGGTGTAACTTTTCAAAATATTAAAGTCTAAATTTACTAAAATAAATAATTATGTGATATATAATAAATGTATTGTGGAAACAAGTGATTTACGCCATTAATATTTCTATTACATTTAATAAACTGAGGTATTTAACATATATTTTAAGTAAAATATTTAACAGATTATATTTATATAATTTATTTTATAAACTAAAAGTAGAAAACAGCTCAAGTAACTACATTAAACATTAACTGCAATAATAATATTTATTAAAACCTTGAAGAATAAAACATTGTTGATCTATTAACATCTTATATGTATAAGAAAAGTTATACATTTTTTATTTATGTAATAAAAATATAAGAAAGATAAGCTAAGCATGAATCAGTTAGTATTTTTTTTACTTTGAAATTGTATTTAATAAAATACGTTATTCCCTTCACTATTCAAAGTGTTTTAATTAAAAACACTGTAATATAAACCCACAGGCATCATCATATACAGGTTCTTCCAAAGAGAATATACCATTTTAAATTAATTGTTGTAGTTATGTGAATTATTATATGAGAACTTTGCAGTGTACATAAAAACATGGGAAAACTATCCAAGTTTCATACTTACGTTCACGTACGTAATTTCGTATGAATAAAAAATATCATACAGGAATATCATAAATTTGAATAATTTAATTTATTTTCTAGTAAATAACTAAAATTGTAGGGCCAATCTCACCCATACCGACGCGTTATGCTCGATTAATTTATGTTCTCCTACATTATAAGATTAAAGTAATATAAAGCGTTTCATTGGGAGTTTTAATAAACATAATAATGATTACGAAAAAAGTACTGTTTTATTTCTAAAAATGAAATAAAAAATATACTTATTCCATGAATTTAATGAGAAAAAAGACAATTATTTTCAATTGAACATAAAAAATACTACTAAAAATATTATGGAAACATTAACACTCCTAAACCTTATAACTCCAGTAATAAGCATTTAATAGCAAACTAACGTTTTCAACCGTACATTCGGTCTTCTTCAGGTTTAAAAACCAGTTATGTTCGAACATGTGAATGCATAGAACAAAATTTTGAAAATAATTTCAAAATTTTTGAATTCACCACCTCAACTCCATTTATAGGGAGATTGCCTTTCATACTAATACTAAAGTTACATACAAGAGGCCAAGCACGGTATATGGACTACCCCGCTGTGGCAAAGACAAGATAAATAGAAAGCAAGCACCGGGTGTTTACATGGTCCCTCTCTGGGATGACAGGTTTCAAAGGGAATTAGTATATATTGGGTCTACAAAGCGCTCATTGAATAAAAGATTGAAAAAGCACGATTATGATATCGTTGATAAAAGGCACACCACCGCCCTGTCAACATTTGCGACTGAACCCGGCATAAGAGCTGACCTACATGAGGCCAAACTGATTAAATTGTCTCACCGTGTAGAACACCTACGAAACCTTGAGGCACTTGAAATTTACAAGGCCGGGTTACTCACCAATTGCATTAACTCTAAGGATGCTGATAATTTGTCACACGCTTGGAAATACTGCTATGAAGGAACAGGCAATGACCACAATAGTGGTTAGAAGCCACACCCCGATTTTGTGTATTTATATAAGTCACTATAGGAGCGTATGTAGCACATTTATGTCATTATATGTATGTCAACGTATGTAGCACATTTATGTCATTATATGTATGTCAACGTATGTAGCACATATATGTCATTATAGGAACGTATTTTCACATTTAACATGTCGTTGCCATGGCAATGCACACGCTTAACTTTTTATTCTTTTAAATTACGTTGGTAAAGTTCCATTTTTTGAAAATAATTTCAGAATTTTTGTTCTATGCATTCACATGTTCGAATATAACTGGTTTTTTAAACCTGAAGAAGACCGAATGTACGGTTGAAAACGTTAGTTTGCTATTAAATGTTTATTACTGGAGTTATAAGGTTTAGGAGTATTAATGTATACACTTTCCAGTATTCTCGTAAGAAGATTTGAATTATGGAAACAAAAATCTCTCTCTCTCAAAAAAGCAAACTTATAAATTTTCATAATAAGACTTCAAAAAACAAAAATGATCGATACTTTGATCACTTAATCTAGTTTTAATTTGTTCACAAAAAGACCCGAAGCTGAAAACGCCTTTTCAGATTCTATTGAAATGGGTAAAATGGTTTTCAAAGCTCTCAAAAGAAGAGAAATTTTCTGAGATTTTACGTCTGTTTTTTTGAATATTTTGCTAACTCAGTTACTAACTTTACAGCACTTTACAGTACTTAATTATTTTTTATTGCTCTCTGTTCTTGTCGTATTCATGATCTCTCGGTTTTTTCAAGATATGCATTTAGCTTGTCAGCTAAATTCATTTTATTCGGCAGTGTGACAGTCTGTGATTTTTGTACATATTTGAGTTTATTACCTTCACTAGATTTAGAAATAGCAGATTCTCCAAAAAGGCGATCAAACATTTGTTTTGCTGATGAAATTATAATCGCGTCAGATTGTTGGAATGCGCTGTCACTCTCGAACTTCTTATATTTGTTTTCACCCGTGAGGTAAAGTAACAGTCCCATCAATTTTTCGTTTTCTTTTCTCTTTTATGCGGATAACAAAATATTGAAGTACTTTTTTAGAAAAAGCAGTGTTCAATTATTTCAGTTCATTCTAAACGAAAGAGGTAAAATTCTCTGCTGAACGTAGAGTAGATTTTCTTCAACAGCTAGTTTTAAGTTCTATCAATGCCACGAATTACATCGACTTCGTGTTTTTCAAGGCTAAAAGTACTATTTTTATTTTCTTTGAGATTAATGAGAACTTTCAACACAGATGGTCTTATCTTGATATACCGTCCTAGCATAGCTAAAAGACTGTTCTATCTGGTTTTTGAATTCAACATTAAATGTAAGGGTTTTCCATGATCCTGTTTAACGTATTCTTGTAACAAATTATTCTTCACAGGTGACTTACGAAAGATTTTAGCTATCTTTCTAACTTTGTTGATAATTTGAGAGACGTCGACTTCATACAATTCAAAAGCTGTATCTATTTCAAATAGATTTTCATTAGAGTGTTCATATTCTGAAATAAAATTTTCAACCTCAATACTTTGAGTGAAATCTTCTTCACTTTCATCAATGTTATACTCATCTCTTTAGTGATCTACTACTGGCTGGTTTTCATCAATAAAGGGGATTGTAAAGTGGATAGATGATTTCTGATACAAAGCATCACACACTGCTAAGTGGATTCCTTGTGCATAACACAATTGGTGCTCACATTCAATTGATCTTTCCATTTTTTTCATTACAGTTGCACCATCAGTTACACAAGCCACCACGTGTTTTTCCAAAGAAATATGATATTCAGCTAACTTTTCTTTGACCACATTAACAGCAACATCAGCGGATAGAGAACCAGAAATCCTTACCATTCCTAAATTCTAAAATTTTCCCTCCCCTGTGTGTACATTAATATTCATATATCGGCAATTGTTTAGAGAGGAGTACTTGTCTAATGATATACTAAACCTTGTTCATGAAGTTATTTTCTCTGCAATTTTAGAAATCAAATTTTCTTTTATCTGTTCGTATTTTGAGTGAACCAGATCCATGAAATGATTTGTTGGCAAAGTATACCCTTTCTCTGCCAAAGATTGCTTGATATATTCACCTTTTGTAATAGAATTAATAACTATACCATCTAGCGTAAACACTTTGTGACTATTTCTTGCAAAGTATTCTGTTTTATTGAAAATGATTATAGATTTTGCTGAGAGGCTTTCCTCTTGTTACAACTACATTCATGTTCTTTGCTTTTATTATCAGAATCACTAGTAGAACACTTGTTTATATTGTGCTTATCATGCAGGTGTCTGATAAGACCACTAGTAAACCAATCTTTGCACTTTATCTCAGCTTTACACTTTTTACAGGTTGCTGATTGTGGTACTTGGGTTTTTAAAAAATGTTTTCAAACAAACGACTCTGATATTACAGTGATTTGATTTTATCAATTATATTAAAATAAATTGTTGTAAAATACGAGTAATTGACTAATATAGGAATTACAAATAATCACATTTACAGTTACAAACGATAGGATATAAATGGGAATGTAAGCTTTAACAAATTCCTTAACTTATAAATGTGAGGACCCAACCGAGGTCCGAAATCATGTAAATCACGGTATTCTTATGATTAAATAATAACGATAGATTAATTATGAGAGGGAGAGGAAAATTCCATAATTTAAACAACGCGGCACAAAATGTAGACAACGAGTCTCGGATGACTCGAAAACGTGTTAAACTAACTGTCAATGTCAGAATGAAAAGTTATAAGTCAGAGTCAAGTGGTCATATGTAGGTAAAACTTTGACCCCAGCGCTCATAAACAGTCAATCTAGGGAAACAATTTCGGAAAAGAGGAAAAGATTTAAGAGAGATAAATTATTGCATATGATCGTTCGAGTACCCAGATGACAGAAATCGCGAGTAACGGAGCTAAATTAGGAGCGCGAGTCCTGCAATTTTGTCAACAATCCCCAAAAACAATCGACAGAACGGCGTCGAGCAGACACCTGCAATCGGACCTATCCCGTGATCCGAGTCGGTCTCGGTTTTCCCCAAAACAAAAGAGAGACCAATCGGAAAGCGAGGAAGGAGACGAGGGGCCAATCAGAAGTCCGAATAGTGGGAGAAAACTATAAAAATCCGAAATTCAAGGTCGGAGAGTCTCTCCTCCGTATTCCACGAAAGGTCGTGACTTATATTGTGGTGTGTCGTCGCCAAGAACTTTGAACTCCGCCGCTTCCTCCTTCCGATCGTTCGCTTTCCTCAGCGGCCTCATCTCGTCCGCCCCGGACCAGACAGACGCCGAAGTTCTCGCCTCTCCGCCTCTTCGACGAGAAGAACCAAGTGAAGGACTGTCGATTTTCCATGTAAGCATAAATGTTAACAAATAAACGGCTTTCTTGTGTAAAACACTTGCCATCATTTGCCTCCTCCGTCACAGCCCACATACAACCTTCCCTTAGGTTCATCCTGACGAGGGATTAATAGATCCCACCTAGGAGACGGCAATCTTATACAGGTGCCGTGGAGGGGGTTTCAAGTCCCCTATCTCCACCGGGTCGGCTACCTTACATAAATGCGAATTCGAAACTAAAGTGCGATGAGTGAAATTTACTTTCAGCGAGTGCACCGCTGCTCAATGATGCGCAAACACAATACATAGATATTACATGAACTAACAAGTAGAGCCTTGTAAAACATAGGTAATAATATGCAGCATAAAACCTGAAAATTTCTCTCTTAGGTGACTCATCAAAATGCAACTTTTCACTTGAAAACTTTATATGACATGCGAGATTTTTCGGGGAAAAAATTTCCCGGGATTTTTCTCATAGCGAATAAACGGCAGGAATTCCGGGAAAGAAACCCTACACCGAACACATCTAACCAATACTCAAATTCTTCCTACGCTCTCTATGTCATATCTATTGTTATTCCTGTCACGGTTCCTACAGATTATTCGTGTCGCGCAATGATGAGTAAATCCCACTTTTTGTGGATTCGCCATTTTTGTTTACGGCACTTCTTATATATATATATTAGACAACAATACGTTTGAATGCGGATGAGAGTTGAAATTCGGTCCGTTACTCGATTGTATGCTATTGTATGTTACTCGAGTATGCGATTGTATCCTATTGGGATACAATCGCATACTTCTCAGATAATAATTAACATAATTACAGCAATTTAAAGTAGACCCTGTATAACTTTATCATCATAAACGTTATAGTGTGTATCGATAATTCATATATGTATTCATCAATATGTTTACTGATAATAATGTATAAAACGCTTTGACGGCCGACTGTTTCGTCGCATCCACAACTTCATTTTGAAACGATACAAACGATCAAGATCTTACTACGCAGTCAAGGACTTTAAACTACAAGGATAGCCAGATCCCGTATATTTGTTAGCGTGACCTTGGCTCTATGTGACGTCACAGCAAACCCTCTACTTCAACATGACAGATCTTTCAAATTACAAAATACGATAAAATATTAAATCATTTCTTAATTAATTATTAAATTACTACTAAATGTAAACTACTGTAGAATTTTCGGATTTAATACGTGTACTGTACATCAATAAATTTACAAGTCTTTTGTGTAATATTTATTTAACAAATTAATGAGCTGTATTTTTTATTATGTGATTATCTTACTTAACTTTTTAATTTTTTTTCGACAATCACCATTTTCAGAAGGCATTCTTTTCAATATTTTATAGTTTTCTTGTTTAAGATTTCTATAATTAATTCTTATTATAGTTCTTAATTTACAAAAATCTTTTATTAAAGTAAAAGGTAAAACTGTTTCCACTGACTAATTCTGTACAACTCCGGGGCCTTTTTTATACGATTCATCGTGATATATTTCGAAATATTTATTCCATTCTATAATTTTTGCTAGCCATTCATCAGTAGGTTTAATAAGCCCTCCATANTTTTGGCAGGTGTTTCCTATTGCAATACTTGAGATAAAAAAAGCGAATTTCTGTAAATTTCTCTAAATTTTGGAACTCGATCGAGATCAACTTCGTCGATTTTTTAGAACTGTGCCCGGAATCCAAACCATTTCTTCACAATACCATCAAATGTAGGTAATTATAACTTCGGATATCACAATAACGAATTTTACGAAATTGGTTTTTTAATTGTCTGTGGCTATGAAGGAACGGGCATATTAAATTCAACGAAATTCTCAACTTTTCCTTTAAGACTACTCATTTTACTGTGCATAATCCGTTTATTGATATATGTTTCCGATTCGTCTATTTCTGGCTCAGTAATATTATTATTCGTTGTGTCTGTCAAAAGTATTTCTTTAACTTTGTCATCAACTATTAGCGTTAATTTCGAATTTTCATCGATTAGACTTAACGTTATAATATTTCCATTATCTGATAACGAGTCTTCTTTCTCGTATTCATTGCATACTTTCGTAAACAATCTTCTGTGCCGCTTTTAACGTCTCCATCTTTAAAATAAATAGGCGTAAAATTCAATTTGCAGTCGAATCATATGGCGTACGCCAATTGACCTGGCGTCTCATAAAAAAATCCTGAGGATTAGCTCTCCCGGATTCTATTTCCAGACTTGCACTTTGATCGACACCTGTATGATTAATGCTTTGAAATAAATGGAATTCTTTGATATTATTTTAGAATAAATTTCTATTCTTTGAGTTTTAATTAAAACATGTCAAAGGTGTTTATAATATCGCGGTATTATTACGAAATTTAATGATGATAAATGTGTTATAAAAAATATATATACATTTATATATATATATAACTGCATGTGTCACGTGTGTAATTCTCAGCTATAAAAACACAGTATAAATAAAGCCGAGTAAATATATAAAACATCAAAAGCTATGAATACAGAAGTGGTTTGCATCGTTATGTTAATTATTTCCATCAATACCGATGCCACAAGTAAGAATATTTTCGTGCGATTAAAATACTCATATTTCCATTAATTTTGAATTAATTTTTAATTTAGGATATAATATACCAATAAAGTGTCATCTTCAGCCAGATTCAGGACTATGTCTCGCAGACATGCCTCGTTATCATTATAATATTGCTACTGACAAATGCGATCTTTTCAGTTATGGTGGATGTCCCGGAAACGGCAACAACTTTGAAACTTTACAGGAATGTTGCAATGAGTGTTCTGCAAGTAAGTTCAGCTATTTGATATTCTATATTAAGCTGGTAATTACGTTTTAAATTAATATATGAATTTCACGCTAATATTCTGTTTCCCCCAGCAAATTTGGAATGTGAACAATCCAAAAAATATATACAGGACATGATCGACCGTCTATCAAGACCGAGTGGAAAAAGCATTGAACTGTGGTAGTTGGTCACAGGTTCGAACTTCACCAACGGACTAGGCGGATGCAGATTTGTGTGACTTCTTCATGTGTTTTGTTCGTTAAATAGGATCAATTTCTCATAGAATGTCCTTTGGATAGTACCCCTACTTCGTGTCTATGTGTTGTTGGCTGTAAAGGAAATAAATGTCTAAAAATTCTCCCGAGTTCATGTTACTCTGTAACGACTAATAAAGTGTCAAAAAGTGTTTATATTTTATTTATGCCAAGTATATTTAAAATAATCTGGTTTGTTTGAAGAATCGGCCATTTCGGAATACACCAGTGGCCGAATGGCTAAAATTACTGCACACTGCTAGTTCGTTGTAGGTACGCTTCTGACCATGGAGTTTTATGGGTTTCCTTCACGTTACTAACATATAAGTAGGGTCAGTTTTTCATATAAAGTCTTCTTGGGAGGCATCCCAACCCGGTGCTTTGAGATAAAGAAGTAAACAAAAATTAACCATTTCATTGTATTTCATTATAAAATAACCATTACATATGATTTGCTGTTTTTATACTTTTGAAATTGTGTATTATTTATGAAAATATTAATATATTCTAGGTGGCGTTTATATAGAAGGCATAAAAAATATAGGAAATGTTTATTCCAAATTTTATTGATTTTCAATGAAAATGAATAGTAAATTTGAACTTTATGTTCTTTGATTTCTGGTGAAGCATTTCAAAATTTTAAAGTTTATATTTATTAAGATAAAGAATTAATTAAGTAGGCACGTATTGTGAAAACAAGAGATTTACGCCATTAATATTTCTTTTACATACTTACGATTAGAATATCGAAATCTGTCCCAATCACGAAGTATTTCGTCTGGTAATGACTACTCAACTAGTGGTTATAACATTGCTGCATAAAACTGTATTTCTTTAACTTAGTCCTCAACTATTAGCATCAGTTTCGCCTTTTCTTCGATTAAACTTAATTTTATAATATTTCCCCTTATTCAATAATTCGTCTTTTTTGTCGTACTCATTGCATACTTTCGTAAGCAATCTTCTGTGCCGCTTTTAACGTCTCCATCTTTAAAATAAATAGGCGTAAACTTCAATTTGAAGCGAAATCCTGTGGAGGAGGCCAGTTGATCTGACCTCATAAAAAAGTCCTGAGGATTAGCTCTCCCGGATTCCATTTCCAGGCTTGCACTTTAATCGACAGGTGCATGATTAATGCTTTAAAATAAATGGAATTCTTTGAAACTATTTATGAATAAATTCCTATTTTTTCAGTCATAATTAAAACATGTCAAAGACGTTTATAATATCGCGATATTATTACGAAATTTAATAATAATAAATGTGTCATAATATAGGCAACATATATATCTGCGTGTCACGTGTATAATTCTCAGCTATAAAAATCGCAGTATAAATAAAGGCGAGTAAATATATAAAATAACAAAAGCTATGAATACAGAAGTGGTTTACGTCGTTATATTAATTCTTTGCATCAATACCGATGCCATAGGTAAGAATGGTTTTTCTTTTTTTTCGTGCGATTAGAATATTCATATTTTCATTAATCTGAATTAATTTTGAATTTAGAAAGACCAGTGGACTGTCAATTTCAGCCAGATCCAGGACCATGTAACGCAACAATGCCTCGTTATTATTATAAAAAATTTACTAGTAAATGCGAACTTTTCATTTATGGTGGATGTGGCGGAAACAGCAACAATTTCCAATCTATAATGGAATGCTGCCGTTTTTGTTTTCCAAGTAAGTTTACCAATTTCATATTCTATATTAAGCTGGCAATTAATTTTTAAATAAATATATAGATTTCATGCTAGTATTGTTTTTCCTCCAGGAAATTCGGCTTGTCCTATGGGACTAAGTGTAATGGACTACGTGTAAAATATAATTATTACACATGAAATATCGTTATTGCATTATAATAAATGTGTATTTGTTTTTCAAATGTATTATTCGTTAGTAATGAGAAGAATGTAATAAAATGAATATTTTCCTGAGGTAGAAATTAAAATCCTAAAATCCAACCCAAATCCATTATAATTATACAGTAAGATGTTATTTTAATTCATTTCGATTAAATGTATTTAGTAATTGATAAATTTAATAATTATGTTCGTTTTTTTTCATGACTGATATTTAAAAGAAATTGCAATTGCCCACGTACAGTTTGAGTAGGCGCAAAATTACTTCCATTAAAATGGCGTTACTAAACAGTTAGTTGCTGTAGTATTATGAAATTTCTCCAATTCTACAATTAATTAATTATAGATTTAAAAAATAACTTATACTATCAGATGAAAACTTTATACTTGTAAAATGCATGTTAATTTGTATTAAAAAAAACGGATTTATTCAGCCATGCATAGAAAATGTCTAGCAAGAATTTCGTCTTCCTGTTTACAAGTGAAGCAAAAACATATATTTCTTTCCTTTTTCGATTGATATTGGGCAGGTTCTGCTTTTCCATAAGACATATGTACCGTACTTCACCAGATGAATATGTCAAAATATCCCGAATTTTCCCGCCGATGAAATAATTGTAAGCACGTAAGCTTGCATACGCTTGTAATGACTGTGCAGTGTTAATTTTCAGAAGATTTAAAAGAGTAGTTATATATATATATCACCATACATACATTTTGGTAATGATTTATCTCTAGGTTTCTAGAAAATCTGAAGTCGTAAAATATCATAAAAAGGATTAGAGAAAGAAACACGAAGATACGGGATTAATTTCAAGAGATACCGTTTTCTTTCTTCGATAGAGAGATAATTATAATATTGAATCAATATTATTGATATAAACAAGACTTGCTAGATCTTGAAAATTAGAAACCTTTAAAAATATCTGTTGGAAAAACAAGTTTTCAAAACTGTTTTTCTAGCAGGTTAAAGGATGTATTTATTGATAAAGGACAAGAAGTTTTATAGTTGTAAATTCTTTAAGTAGTAACAGATTAGACAAAATATCTGTAATAGTTAATAAGTACAAGAATTATTCATCACAATATTTATAAGAACAATAATTAAAAAACTATATAGAAATGACAATTTAGATGCAATATTGTTAAATTTCTCTCCTGTCATTACCTATGTGTGTAGCAATGATTTGTGTTATATAAACTTTTGTATTTGTATTCTGTAGCAACGCTTCGTGTCATATAACCTTTGTATTATTTTACTAACAAATAAACTGCCATGACGTAACGTCTTTTATCAAGCCCGCCACTTTTTGGTTTGGTATGACTTTGAAACGGATCAAAGTAGTCGTGTACAGGGGCGTGCCGTGACATTTGATGATAGTGAAGCTGTGTTTCTATAAGAAGCCGACATCCAGGGGCAATCAGTTAATTCTTTCTTTAAATGTATTTTTAATAGATTATTTATCTGACGTACTTAATAAACAAGTTCAATATAATTACCTCTGTTATTAAATCCAATATATTCCATATGCCCTCTAAATGCCGATTCTCGCTTTGATAAAAACATATAACATCTATTTATTTAGATATAATATATCTATTACCCATAATTATCTCGTTACAATTTTCAATATTTATTTTATATTATTTACTAATGTTAAATTCTATTCCGCTTCGATTTCCAAATTGCTTCAAATACGAAAGAATCGACGATTTTTCGTGTCTTTTGCCAGCTAAATTGTCAAAGACATTCTTATTCCACACACTAATTTCACTCTGTAAATGCATTTTTATGCATTTACAGAGCCATTTTATCGTGAAAATATCGAACAAATTTTTTTATTGAAGCGTTTATATTTAACTTAGGCATTGGCCGTTCTCTTTTAATAATGTTTTCTTTTTCATTATATGATCTCGAGCCAAAACTTTTTTAAAATAAATTTTCAATATCGCAATTACATTCCGAATCGCTAGCCACGATATAAGGGCTAAAATTAAAAATAAAATTATAAAAACTTACTTGGTGAAATAAAATGTGTGGTGGATATACATACCTGGTACAAGACATTCTTCAATTGTACGAATATACTTTTAAAAAAAATTATAATTAAATATAGCTTTGTAATGAAACGTGCATGAAAATAACATAAAATATTCTTTACTCTTTAAATCTTAACTACTTACAAGTTAGTCAAATAGCTCCTTACAGTGCCGGCCCGAAGCAAGTTTTAGGATGGAGCGAGATCCTATTATGGCGCCCCCTTGGTTGCCATTAATTTATACCCTTTAATTTTCTTTACCACTGAGGCGCCCCCCTAGGGCGCCGGTGGTAAAGAAAGCCTGGAGCGGCTGCCCCTAGCGCCTGGAGCGGCTGCTCCGTTCGCCCTATGGTAGGGCCGGCTCTGGCTCCCTACGAGTAAAATCAGAGACGGTCCTGCTAGGTGTGCGGTGCGTACATGCACGCGGGCTGCCAAATCCCGAGGGTGCCGATAACCTCGGGATTTGGCAATGTCAAATGCTTTTTTTGTCGCATCACTAATATACCTCAAAAGACGCGACAGGGTTCTTGTAAATTTTAAACGTTTCTCACCATAGCTGTAAAAGTCTAAATATTTTAAACTTAATAGATTGTTTGTCTTTTGTTTTTTAACTAATTCGTTTTAGGGCCAAGTGTTGTCCACGGAAATTTCCAAAATTTACAACTTTTCGGTCACTCTCGTCGAACTGGAAAAATTTCTGTCTTTATTACATCTAATACAGTATTTCGAAGAAATCAGTACCCACTGTACTCGGCTACAGATTGGTTCGGTTACGCTTTCGTTTAAGTACTATTCCGGCTCTTTCAGCAGGGTTTTATTTATGCCCCTCAATTTCCTAATCTCTTAATTATTTAACTACTTCTTAAGTAGAAATAAGTCGAAACCAGTTACTTTGTACTCGAATATTTGTAGTCTCGGGAAAAAAATGAAAAGACAAATTTTTATGACAAACCGATACATAAATCGTAAATTTAAGAAAATTCTAGAACTTTTTCTGTACCTGGTGCATCTCTCTTGTTCATTAAATGTAGTTGTAAATGACGCTGTCGAAGTAATGGTTAATTTTTTAACATTATACAAGAATTGTACACGTTTTTTTCTACATCCCCTTAAAAATGGGATGTACGAAATCGTAATATCACTGGTTTAACATCGAAATCCGTGAGTAATATAAAATCGGAGAGCGGAATAAAAATATCAGATATTTTAATGGATTTTTTAAAACTGCTGTCAAATATACGGAACTATTGTAAAAACATACCAGTAAATTCTTATCGGTTGAGTTAAGTTATAAATCTACTCGTTATTCACGTAATCGAAATATTTAGTAGGCGGGCGGCTAACAGCCGAGAACCGGTCCTTGATAGAATTGGAATCGTTATATGTGTGCAGCTTCTGCCCAAGGTCGTAGGCTTCCACCGGCTAATCCGGGTGAGGTTGGTGCTCTGTAAAGCGCATGCGCAAATCTGGCTTTTTGGAATCTGAAAAGTTCAGAGATTCCACTCCGCCACTAATATTCGAATATACAAAAGCAATATTTTTTCACGTGTAGTATAGAAATTCGTAATAAGATACATAATGCGATCATATAATTAAAATTAATATTTATTTATTTTTTAGGAAATACGAGGGAAGCGGCGCTTCCACCGCTTCTAATGACGGCACGCCACTGTTCAAAAAGTTTTGGCCCGAGATCATATAATGAAAAAGAAAACATTATTAAAAGAAAAAGACCAATGCCTAAATTAAATAAAAATACGTCAACAAGAAAATTTGTTCGACATTTTCACGATAAAATTTATGAAGATATAAAATGGCTTTGTGGATGCAAAAATTGTTTTGCTGGCCTTGCCTACTATTTTGAAATAAAAATTAGTGTGTAGAATGAGATTGGCTTTGACGATTTAAATAATTTGAGTAAAGCTGGCAAAAGACACGAAAATTCTAAAGCTCTCATCGAACCTTTCGTAAAATTGAAGCAATTTTGAAATCAAAATAGAATAGAATTTAACATTAGTACACAATATAAAATAAATAATTGAAAATTATAACGAGATAGTTATGGCTAATAGATAGAGGAAAAGGTGGTATTATGGAACCCCAATTACATTTTAGTTAATTGTGAACAAGGTATCATAACTACATTCACATTTTTTGTGCGAAAAGTACTGGTAACTATTAAACTAAATGTTCCTAATTGGATTTTTCGCTAGTATAATTATAAGTATGGTTTTTGAAGGCTTTTGTACAAATAGTCCGAAAGTAGGCTTACAGAAAATCGGGTGGTAATATGGAACCTTACTGTATATTTTCAAAAAAATGCTTTAATGTAGCCAAAAACAAATAGGAAAGTACAAAAAATTTTAAATAATTACAAAATTATTTACTCCAATGTATTTTATCGCAAAAATGTTCTTATAATAGAAAAATATGACCTCCATTAACAATATATATTCTAGCAGCTCTTTTTCGATATTCTCAGGAAGAATTGGCTTTCTACCTAGTGTCTTTTTCATAAATTGCTCTGGAGGAATGTCTGCTTGAAAATAGAAAGTTCGGAGGAGTTGAGTTCCATATTACTGTAAAAGCATCAATGGGGTCCGTATTTCACGCATCGCCATTTTGAATTAACTTATGTCTGTGAAGACCAAAATTTAAAAAAACGTGAACATCACACAGATTAATATGTACCCCCTAAGTCTATGGAACGGAATACATGCACCAGTGAACCTACAACTACGCGATTTATATTTTAAAAATAATTAAATTCACTTAGCATTCA